CTGTGTTGCGAGATATTATACGTATACGCATCCAAGAAATTCTTAGCTCCCTTCACCATATTCAATCCTTCCTCTGTTTTGCCCAATCCTTGCGCAGTCACAACACCATACGAGTCGACTACTTCACTGGAGGTGCTGAAAGTCATACCATCAACTGCACATGCAACTTGTACGAGTTTGACTCCCTCGCCAGTAGCTCCGATAGCTTTGCAATGGCCGAAAGCCTCGCGAACCCAGTGGATTACTCGTCCTTGTTTAAGTAGAGTAGATACATGCTCGCCACCAGGGATATAGATCGAATCGAACATGGTACTTCTCATACCTTCGAAATGATGATCTGCGCTTACGCTCTTGCCACCGGAACTCTTGATTGGTTGTCTCTTGGGGCCGATGGTGAATGGAAGAGCGCCGGCTGCAGTCAATGCTCCCTTCACTGCTTCATACTCGAGGAAGTTGAACCCATCTGCAATGATGATTGCGACCATACGAGAAGCAATGGTAGCTGGTAAGCCCAGAGCTTCAGGGGTGAAATCAAATTGTGATAGACCCTTGGCCTTCTTGCCGTGATTCGGGCGTCCGGCTTGAGTGGGTGTAGGAGCACCAGCTTTCTCGGCTACAGCTTGTGCGAGGCCAAGGTCGATATCAGTCAGTCGCTCAACCATACGCTCATATACAACAGGGTCGTCGCAATGATCGAGTTCAAAACCTAGGGCATTGATGATGTGAGATTTTTCAACTTCAGACATTGAGTTCCAGAACAACTGAGCTTGGGAGAAATGTTCCTTGAACTTTATGGAGTTTAGTCGTTGTTTCATTGCTACAACCTTGTCGGGATATTCATAATAGGCACCTTCTGATTGCTTGGATGGAGGAACAACACTTTCTCTGTTGGGCCAGTAGTTGATTTTGCCTTTTGTAATTCGGTGTCGCATTTGACCGTCTCGGTGGTTGTTCATAACCGGGCATACTGGTCGGTTGACGGGAAGTTCTTGCCAGTTAACACCAAGTCTTGAGAGTTGAGTGTCGAAGTAAGAGAAGTTGCGGCCTTGGAGTAGTGGATCGTCACTGAAACCGATGCCAGGAACAAGATGAGCAGTGCAAAAAGCAACTTGTTCAGTTTGTGTGAAATATTCATCGACGTTCTTGTTGAGCTCTAGTTCACCAATATATCTGACTGGGAGAACATCTTCAGGCCAAACCTTCGTGGCGTCTAGGATGTCGAAGTCGAATTCATCTTGGCGACTTTCGTCGCAGACTTGAATACCAAACTTCCATTTGGGATAACACCCGCTTTCAATAGCAGTCCAAAGATCTTTGCGATGGAAATCTGGGTCTTGACCAGCAATCTTTAATGCTTCATCCCAAACTAGTGAATGGACACCTAGAGTTGGAGTAAAATGGAATTTGACGAATGATCGTTTGCCTTCGGCGTTTATCAAAGTATATGTGTTCACTCCGAAACCTTGCATCATGCGGTAAGATCTTGGAATACCTCGATCTGACATGGCCCACATGAACATATGTGTTGCTTCTGTGTGCAGAAATTGGAAATCCCAGAAGTTATTGTGTGCAGACTGTGCTTGAGGGATCTCATTGTCTGGCTCAGGTTCTATGCAAAGTTAGTGACTATGAATGTACGTTTAAGAGAAGAGCACTCACTCCCGGCATGAATGACATCGGGAAACTTAATAGCGTCCTGAATGAAAAAAACGGGAATGTCGTTTCCGACAACATCCCAGTTGCCCTCTTCGGTATAGAACTTCACGGCAAAACCTCGTACATCTCTAACAGTATCAGCACTGCCACGAGAACCTAAGACTGTCGAAAAGCGGACGAAAACAGGTGTGGTGCGAGAAGTATCTGTAAGAACTCCAGCGTTTGTAACATCCTATGCCTGATATTAGCTTTGATTGTTTGGCACCGAGTAAAACAATGAGATACTTACATCGGCGCTCTCGTAGAGTTTGAAGGTACCAAAAGCTCCAGCTCCACGTGCATGAACAACCCTTTCTGGTATACGCTCGTGATCAAATTTCATGATCTTCTCCCTACCAAAGTTGTCTTCTAACAATAAGGGACCTTGGCGATCGCCGGTTGAAGCAGATAGCCAATTGTCATGGTTACCGTGTTTGACACCGAAGTCACTGGTAAGAGGTTCCTTTGTATTTGGTTCTCTCATCTCAGGCAGCATATCTGCCGTCTTCTTGTCGGACATGGCGGAAGATACTGCTGCTCCTGCTTTCTGTACTGTGGCTCCAATAACGGATTGCATTATTATGATCAAAGTTAGATTATCGTAAACTGAACATCCAAATAAGGTTCAAGACGAAGAAAAGGAAGAAAGATGGGCAAATAAATAGACAATGGGATTTTGCGCAAAATCCCATATTCTAGTCAAGCATATTACATCATGGGTGACGCAGCTTTGCGGCGATAAGAGCATTGTGGAACATGTTCTCCGCAGAATCTTTTGTTCTCATTTCTCTTTACAGAGAACTACTCACGAAACAGCGAATACGATGCTGAATATTTGAAAAAGATCCATGTTTTCATTGTTCCATCTGGGCCGGGACATTAGGAAGGAGCTTGTGCTCCGTCCAAATAGTGAATAAGTGGATGGGATAATCAGGGTTGATGTCATGAATGGTGATGCACAGAATATTAGTCAGCTTTTCAGCCAATCAAAAGAGGTCTATAAAGCATCTGAGAATCTGAGGTCCACCATGTCTAAAGATCGATTATTCCCTACGATTCATCGTTTCCTGGCACCAATCAACGACGTTCAGTTCATAAGTCCGATTTAATTTTTGTGTTGTGTTGCGGTGCTCTGCAGGATTTGTTCCAACTTCCAAGTCTTTAATCACTGGAGGAGTGCTTTCGGCATTTGAACTGTGTGAGAGTGGGATGACAGAACGGATACGAAGAAAGCAGCGCGAAAATAACGTCGTCAAATATCACGTGCCAAAGAGCTTTTCGTAACTGGTAGCATTTCTCCTGGATGTGTATGATATTCCGAGACAGTTGAAAGAATGCTCAGCCGAAGTTTTCTTTCTGCACATTGGCTATAATTCAGGCAATCTGTCTGGCTCGTCGTCGGCTTTTTCCTAATCCAAGGACAAAACCTCGAGTAAGGTTTTATCAGCCGAAAGCTTGCTCTGGGATATCATTCAAATATGTTAAGCAAGAGATTAGCCTCAACACTTCTTTCGCTCGCAAAGATCATTGCTGGCATTGATGACAAGATCTATCAACAGCGCTGAAAGTTATATCAGAAGATGACTATGATGGCGATGACAAGTATGAGGTTAGCAGGAGACAAGACGAGTTTCTACAAAATCTTAGACAACACGAAACGCGTCACCACGTGCTTCAAAATCACGTGTACTGACGATATTGTTTTGAGATTCAAAAAGATATTTTCAAGGTTTGTGAACTCTGAGTGTGCAGTCAGAAACCATAATTATTACTGCCTGGGTAGCCAGAAATTGCGGAGAGAACCACATCCCAAATCTACCATAAAAGCCAACCATCAGATTACTGATCCTCCACGGCAATCACGAATTTCTTTCCATCAAATTTTGCAACCTCCTGATATGCTTCAACCGCATCTGCAAGTTTGATTTTGGTCAAAGACTCTTCCTCAGGGCCCTTGATTTTTCCATCTTCAAACATTTTGCTCAATTCATCCATGATATCCTTTGTCTCAGCTAAAGTGAGGCTCCAGCTATTGACTCCATGCAAGCTTTGATCCAACGCTAGCATCTTCATGACATTGATCTTCACTTCTGGTCCACCTCCTCTCATGCCAGATACGAAAACATATCGTCCAGACTTTCCCAAAATGGCAAGACCCTTCTCCATCAATACGGGAGATCCTGCACAGTCAAGAATAATACTAGGTCCTCTTCCATTGTTCAACTCCAACACGCTCTTTAAATTCTCATCCGTTGTAACATTTACATCAGAACCATCTATCCTCGATGTAGTAATGATCTTGAGCCCTCTGGCATTCGCAAGCTCTATTGCAGCCTTCCCGACCGCTCCTCTCGCGCCAAAGATCAGGACCACATCCCCAGCACGTGCGGCAGCTTTCTCCAGCATCAAATAAGCTGTTGAGTATGGAACACCCACAGCCGATGCCTGAGTCCAACTGAGACATTTGGGCTTGATAGCCAGGCCTTCTACAGGTACAGCGACGTACTCGGCATGAGTCCCATCAATGGAGAGACTAAGTTCTCGACCAGAAGTTCCGTACACCTCAGCACCTTCAAGTTGGGCGTCAGATGGAGCTTGGATGACTGTACCAGCGAAATCGCGACCTGGAACTATAGGTTTCTTTCCACCAAATCTATCAAGAATTGCGTTAGCAACGTCGGAAGGGTTGATTCCTGCCGCGTGGACGCGAATCAAAGCTGTGTTGGGACCCGACGGAATAGTTGGGACAGTCAAAGATTTGAGAGTAAGTTGGAGTTGTGCTGTTGCTGAAGGTCGGGAGGCATAGATTGCTTGCATTGTTTTTGAGAGACTCATAATGAAGTTGCTGGACTGTACGCAAAGTCTGAGAAGACAAACTTGGGGTTTTATTCACGTTTCTGGGAGATGAACAAGGTTAAGAACTGGCGGAAGCTGATGGGGGTATCGTATTTGTCAATATTAGTGTACCTAGTGTACCTATTTATCCAGGTAACCTTGTCCCTACTTGGGGTTCTTTATTTGTCCTCGGCACCAATTTGCCCGGGCAGGGTGTCGTTGAGAGGCGAAGTGCATAAATTGATTACGTTTTGGGGTCGTAACGAATATTTGCATGAACAGTTTCGGCGACTTGCTTCACGACAGTCCTATTAATATAGAGGAATGTATTCGTGTTTTTCTTGCTCTTTTTATTTTTGTAATCACAAAGGTCCAGAATGGTAAGAATACTTGCAATGCAATCTTCTCGGTATCACTCCTTGCTTAGTCCTTTGGAGAAGCAACCTCGGAATACTTGTGCACCGAGCACAATGTCACGTTTTCTTCTGGGTTTACTGGTAATGTTTCTGACTGTAGCTTCATTTCTTACTGGAAGGTACTATGAAAAATTAGAGCCTGATGGCTTCCTTCATCGTAAGTTGTGACCTGCACCCGAGTATATTATATTATAAGAGCACCCTGACAATATACTAGTCGCTAGCAAGTCGAAGACGTTTGTGTACAATCAAACTTATGGCGAGAAGCCATCTAATCAGACAGACGCTGCATGGGACTCTCTGTTTCCTTCTCAAGGAGGATACTTCCAGCATCCTACGCTTGCACCTCACCGCTCTGCGCTCTCTGTGTTTCATCAATTGCATTGCCTGGTAAGGCGTCGAGCCTTGATAAGATGGCTGTAACATTCTGACAGATTGAAAGAACGGTCTTCGTAACACATATTGGTTACTGTTCTCAGCTGCAACAACCGGGCCTACTATTCTTGAAGATGAAATCCCAATGATGGCTTCTCCCCCACATATTAGACATTGTATCGATCTACTTCGACAAAGCCTCATGTGCCAACCCGATCTCGCCATCGAAGAGAAGGATCAAGAGAGAGGAGGGGTGTCTGGATTTGGTGTCGAACACAAGTGCAAGGACTGGGGCCAGGTCACACAATGGGTTGAAAAGTGGCAGGGCTATAAAATAGAGGAAGAGAGAGAGAAAGTAAAAGCTCACGGTGCAACGGATCACCACGAGCACCATTAAGGATGCTACCAACCATATTTTAAAATACGATCTTTTCCATGCATTTTAGTACTGTCCCATCTCTCATGAAAAAATCAATGGTTTGTCATTATCGACTCAATTTAAGTAGTCAGTTTCATGCATGTAAATTCCATTTCCAGATGACCTTTTCGCGAAATCTATCTATTCTGTACGAAGATACATTTCTGTATGAAATGAAACCTGTCAAAGGCTTGCTGCAATCACACTAAGCCTGAATGCATGCGTGTAAGTAACAATCTTCCGGATTTTCAATCCAACACCATCTAGAAGGTTTTTCCATTGTGCTTCGGTTCGCTCCATTGAACCAAATGCTGTCAACATTGTCATATCCGTTTGAGTAGCAAACCAGTCAACATTGTGGTTTGGTAACACCATTTCGTCGAGCAATATCAGTGAATCTTTTTCCATGACTTGCATGATATTTTTCAGAATGAGAATTGCCTTATCGTCAAGATGGTCGTGAAGGATAGCACGCAAGTAGTAAAACTTTGCCCCTGGATGATGTTAATAACTTTTTTCACACAACAGTTTCTTGTCACACACCTTTTATAACCTGCGGAGTGTAGAAATCATGGACCATGGCCTCGACTCCATCAGGCAGGTCTTGTGATACGGCGTGTTCAATTTCTCCAGGTAGATCCTGGAATATAACGCGACCCTTAATTTCAGGGAACCTTTTCCTAAACTCAATACATTGTTGACCCGAAGCTCCTCCTACATCGACAAAGAGTGGTTTATCTGCAGGCCAATTTTTGCATTCCTCCTCGATCGGGAAGAAGTTGAACGCATTAGGTGTGCTAGATCGCTGTGCAATCATGAAGCGATTAAACTGTGCTGTTTCCTTGGGACGCGATTGAAACCATAGCCACAAAGGCAAGTCTGTATTCCAAGCTTTCTGGAAGGCAGCTTTATGAGTTTCTGTGGGACTTTGGTAGTTTGTAGAAGCTAGAAAGTCAGGGAGAAGCTGGTACGCGGGACCAAGAACATCGTAACTATCATTGTACACACCATGTCAGAGGATAAGATGAAGATAATTCACGGGGACGCTCTTACTTGTGGTAAAGACCAGCCTGGATTTCAGCAATGGAAAGGTTTTTGCTCGTTTGGCTTGAGGCAAACTGATCTTCCCCTGTTTCTTTGATCATACCCAATGACGAAAGCATGCGTAGTATTCTGCCTAGAAAAATGTTAACACATGACAACCGTTACTCTTAAATTTGGACTTGAGAGTGAAATTTCTATGACTAACCGAGAAGTGTTGGATCGGCACCAGTCCTGGAGGCCAAGTCTCGTAGCTGTTGAGAGCCTTCGGACTCTCCAAGAATATCAAAAAGTTTTAGGTCAATTGCAGTTCGAGTGATAGCGATGACAAGGTGCTGCAAAATCGCAGTCATCAATTTAGAAACTAACTTGCAATTAAGGGATGGAGAGCGAGTATCTTACCAGATGAATCACTCTCTGCATTGTATCTTCTGGCTTCTCGATAGAATATTGCAAATCTCTGAGGGAATCCAGCAGTTCTTTGCGGCCAGCTTCATCCGCAGTAGCTGCTGCATTTCGTATCTTCTCCGCAAGAGTAGCAACTGCCTCCATGATCGCCAAAGACTTTTTCAAATAGATCAAGAAATGTGAATGGATTGAGTATCTACCAGAAGAAAAAAAGAGTGAGGAATCTCTGGTTTTCCCGCTGATGGGGTAAATGAATGTAGTGATTTTGGTAAGGAGCTGTCGAACGGAGGTACTTTGTCCGAGCTTCTGCAATAAGAAGCCAATCGGGAAACTCTAGCGGTGGCACAGCACAATACACACCCTAGAAATTGGATTACTGAGCTGCTGAGCCGCACTGCAACCCTACTGTGACAAATACCTGAGTGGACCCAATTTTAACCAACGGTTGGTGCATGGTTGTCGATTTTTTTTAAGGGGGATGAGGGGTTGCTGGGGTTGCTGCTAATTTACCACCTGATTATGGCTCACGCACTCATATTTGTAAGTGGGTGATTCAAGAGATGATTTATTTATAAGTGAAGAGAAAATGAAGTTGCATTTCGATTTTGTGGCTTAATGAAGGATGGCAACCTACTGTAGGGGCCATAATCTTCAAACTACAATTCACGGACTCGATCTCACACCTTCGCGTTCTCAAAGTAACTCGATGTGCTCGTTGAGAAATACTTGATATGATTTGCAATCACTTTCCACCTGCTGAATTTCAATTCAACGGAAAGACGGCTGCTCAAAATCTGTCTCATTTCAAAGTCGTTTGACACTGCATTATCAAAGATCTGTCTAGCAATTATCGACAATGTCTAGCCCAGGTTACCCCAAACCAGCAGATGGTGACCAAGATCGTGGTGGAGCTGTCATTGCTGTGTACTGGTCAATAGCCGCAGTAGCTATGCTAGTAGTTGGTCTACGATTCTACTCTCGTCGACTCGTTCGGGCCATTGGTGCTGATGACTGGCTCATGCTTATCAGTCTTGTGAGATCTCCATCGCAGTTTCACTGCCGATCATTGTTCTTGCTAATGAGATTATAAAGATCTTCCAAGTCACCTTGAGCTGTTTCTGCACGTATGAAGCAACCATCGGCGGTTTCAAGCATCTCTATTACCTGAGTCCATCACAGCTTACCGAAACTATTAAATGGAACTACATACTACAGTGCTGGGGCATAAGTGCTTTTACACCCAGCAAGTTGTCTGTCGGTCTGCTTCTCATACGCATTCTCCATCCGATCCGTGGATGGAAATTTTGGACAATCGTCACCATCATGACGCTCATGACCATCATCAATACACTTGATAGCATCCTCACATATGCCCAATGCAATCCCCCTAAAGCGTTGTGGGAGCCAACAGTAAAGGCACACTGCTGGAATCCTACAGTACAGGCCAACTTCTCGATATTCCAAGCTAGTAGGTCCAACATTTTCAAGCTTGAAATCTTGTTTACTAATTCTCCATCCTTAGGCTTCAATGTGTTCACTGACACGGTCTTTGCGCTTCTGCCTGCTACCATTATCTGGGGTCTTCAGATGCCAAAAAAGAACAAGTTGATCCTCTGCTTGCTGCTAGGACCAGGACTCTTGTAAGTTGTGTCTACTCGAGCCCATTGAGGTTCAGATAAGCTCATTAACTCTTAAAGTGCTGCGGTTGCCGGCATCGTAAAGATAACCTATTTGTACTCTCTGAATGCTCACTCCGATATAACCTGTGAGTTACAAAGATTCTTCTTTTTTGCGTCGATTTCTTTCACACATGGGAACGGCATTCTAATTGCTGGCTTGATCAGGGGTAACGTATAACCTCGTTATGTGGAGTGGTGCCGAGAATTTCGTCGTGCTTGTGTGTGGAAGTGTTCCTCCTCTTAAGACACTCTACGACCGATACTTTACTACGCCAACAGGATACAATTTCAGTTCGACTGCTAGCAGCGGAAAATACTACAAGACTGGCAAAAGTTCGAACACAAAGGTTTCCCAGCCCACAGATTCAGGGTCTGAGCACGAACTTACACAAATCGAGAATACCGGTCAAATTGAGCAAGGAATCCCAAGAGAATGGTAGGCAACATTTTGGGTATCTACTAAGAATGCCACAAAAATAGCCTGTGGGGTTGTAGAGGCTAACCTCAAAATTGGGACCCAACGTATAGGATGGGTTGTAGGAGAATGCTTGAGAATGTATCATATTTGCAGTTGCACCATTGTATTAATCTAACCTTGAATCCCGCCTCGTAAATTCTTGTTTTGCCTGCTTAATCTGGTTATTGGCAACGAGTTTCTTGATACTCCAGTCCAATATGCGTGAGCTTCTCCAGAAAAGAAAGAGGGGCACTTGGGCGGAGATTTTATGACGGGAAGGTCTATCGATTTTCGATCTTCGATCACTTTAGTGGATACATATTAAATTTAGGCTAATCCAAAAGCTGGCCAACAATATAAACCGTCGAAACTGGATCCAAAAACTAGGTACATCTGACTAGGATCAAATTAACCGATATCCCTACATCTTGCACAACCCTGTATCTTGCACACTTGTATTTCTTTTTATATCAATATTCTAAATTCAATCTATAATCAACAAATTATTATAATCTCTTAAAACTTATAAAATGAATAGAATAATATATATTCTTTACTAAAAGCTAATTGAAATATCAAATATATTAGTATGTAAATCTAAATCTTAATTTTAAAAATAACTATACAAAATTCTTTATATTCATTTATTTAATATTACAAATGAAAAAGAATATTTTTTTTAAAAAAATTATAAATTCTAATATATTTCAATATATATAATTGAGAAAAGTGGTTTTTCTTATTAAAAATTCGAAATTATACTAATATATAATTTGAATTTTTTGAATTAATATTTTTTATATTAAAAATTAATTACAAATCGATAATTTTATAATATTTTAAAAGATTTTAATTACATTTTGATATTTATATCTTAATTGTAATTAAAAAGTATAAATAATCATATTTTATATTATAAATATATATATAATTATTTATAAGTATCACGGAGGTATAGCTATGTCTAATGGTCACTTTGATCAGGAGATAGATATATAGAGTGATAATAAACTAGATTGACTTAAGGTGTGTATTATATGGATATATATATAGTAGTAAGCTATCAGGAAACGGATCCCTGATACTGTGCCTTTTGGACAGATTGCGTGTGTGGCGTAGTGGTAAAGCTTATAACTCCTATTGTGTCCGCTTACGTAACAGTGTGATTATAAGGATTATATCTGTTTTATATACCTTGATCAGGCAAATGGAGTCGCCTAATTAGGTATATAGGATACACAAATGAACTGAGTGAAATAGTTTTAGTAATTATAGGAATGAGTACTCCGGAGGAGTACTAGGATTAATACCGTAGGGTTACACTATACGGTGAATTCCGTAACAATAAGAAAAACATTAATAAATAAAATATAAGATAATATAATATTTAAAAGATATTTTTCAAATTTTAATTTTTTAATATAGTATTCTAGAGATATAATTATTATTTATATTTATTTATTTATAGTGATTAACATCTAATATCTGATCTCCCAAGGGGTATTCTAGATATACTAAGAATGGGCCTACGGGGCCGCTAGCATTCTAGTCGCTTATAGTAATGTAATATAGCTAATCAGAGGCTTATTGTTTCTGGTATCCCTTACTCAATATTGTTTATGGCAATCCTATAATTATTCTGTTTAAGGGTTTGTCATCCTATTCTAGAGGGACCTTGTTTTGTATATCATCTGGGTATTGGCAGATGATCGGGTCGATTGTTATCAATCGGGAAAGTATTCAGGGTGTTTATAGCTGGTCGATACAGATTTTAGATTGATTAAAATGAAAAACTTGTTCTTGGGGTACTGAAGCAGGTTGGTATTATATGATTACATATGGTTTGAATATATTCTAATATAGAATTTGGATCTGATAAAAAGATTAATAAAGCTATGTTGTGATTACAAAACGCGATTAATATATATTATTATATTTCATTCGGATTATAATCGATTTAATATAAGCAATCAATTATGTATATCTGATTATTAATTGAATATCGAAAAAAAATATAATAAGCTTTTCTCGATTCTACATATATAAATGTTTTTATTATTTTTGTGGTTGAATTTGATATAATAGGCTACAAAGTTATCATATCCAATCCGCATCGCTATAAGTCTATATAGTACTTTGTAAAGAAGCTTAAGGCTTCCTAGCTCTAAGATATTATATGCTGGCTTTCATATATTATATATTTTAGAGATCAGATCTCTTTTCGTATTCCATTACTTACTCTCTGAATACTGACATTTGATATATAGAATAGAATGAGAGTTGCTGATAGTAGAAAAGCACAATAAATCAGAATCAAATGGTCCAGTTGTATCCTAATCGGTAAGACGATCGACTGCCTCGTTACCCTTTATCTCAATATACCCAGAGGATTACTTAACTATGACATTATAATGTCGTATTTGTTTGATGACATTTATGATAGACCTATTAGAAGAAATCAGCAGTGCTTTTTTGCATTCCCCAGATCACTGAGGTGCTATCAATACATAGCCATATTCGGCCCAAAGTATTCTATACATTAAGTATTGTTTTGATATTGCTTATAAATCTTTCTATCAATATATTTAGCAGCTAATCGCTGTACCTAAAGCAATGTACTGAATGATAGCATATATTACAGATTATAGTATAGCTGGTACTCATTAGAGTACTGTTATAATTGAAGACATTGCAATCTATTAAGAGGCTTCGAGTATTCGCTGATATTTAAATAATCGGAATAGTTTTACTAGCTTTCTTGAAGCTAATAATCCAATTAGCCTTCCTTATAAAAGGATTTACCCTATACTTAAAGGTTCTATATTGAATTGGATTTTCTCCTATTTATATCTTGATTTTTTCTTGAATAATTATATCAGAAAGTGTTGTGAATATATCTAATATATTATAAGGAATCTGGGGTATAATATAGTTATACCAGGTTTCCGTAGCTTGAACATTATCCACACCAAATGCAATGATTAGTCTTATATAATTATCATCTTATAAAAAGTTCTTGCAATTCTTTAATACCTTGTATTCCAGGGTCCATCCTGTTTTATTATAATGAAACAAAGGGATTAGTTTTAAATCTTAGTTCAGGAATTGCTTTTTTTATTTTCAATTGTAATTCAAAAGAATTATTAATAATCATTTATTGCCCACTTCCTATTTTTATAAGGATTGTATAGCTGTTTCGCTTTTGTTATTCATATTTCTATAATGTTTCTATTGTTTTGAGTGCACTCGTTTTGGTACCCTTTAATGCCTAAAGCACTTCCCTAGCCTTAAGTATATTAATATAGGATTTAGTAGATCCCTTTATAATTGCTTTTATAATTAATACAAAGCCTTTTATAAGATTCAGCTTATTCTGTAGTTTTGATTATATTATTGATATATTGTCACGGGGTGACACTAAGCCCTTTCTGTCCTGTCCTGTCCTGTCCTGCTATATATGTGAGAGTAAGGTAGAACTTCCAGTTCTACCTCCTAGTCTTTTGGGCGTTTAGCTCAGCGGTAAAGCTTCTGACTACTCCCAGAGGTGATCCCGTGACATATATGTAGATTTTAGCTTGTTAGTATAGCTCAATTTCATTTTGCTTAAGGTTTTAATATATATATCAATTACACTCGCGATTTTTAAGATTACTTATTGCTTTTGTTTTTCTTATAGAATTGATTAATTATTGCTTTGTAAATAAATCGTATATTATTCTTTTCCCCCGTATTGATTATTGCTATAATCGTTATTATTATTATGAGAGCGATCGGGTGCGACCCAGTGCGCTTAGCGGTGTGGCAGAACGCTCATGACCGTACATTAATGGTATTATGGTAAGCTCCTTGGGCTATTTCTAGAATATATTATAATGAAGTGAATTGTAAAGCTGTATACAATGCTCATAGAATATATATTATTTATGATAAGCAAGGGATAGATTTGGCTAAATAATATATCTGTATTATTTATATTAATATTCAATAAAATAACTTATAATATCAATTTAAAATCGAATTTAAAATTCAAAATTATTGAGAATATTATAGAATTTGAAGATATTTTCTAACAAAAAATTCTTTAAAAATTGAAAAAGTATTTATTAATTTTTTTTTAAAAAATTATATCAAATAATTATATTCAAATATTTTAATGAATATATTTTTTTTATATATTCTTCCTTTTTACTAGTTTTCAATAAAATTAAATATCATTTCTAACTAAAATTATATTATTATATAATTTTATCATTATTGTGACGGACCTAAGCTCTCTTCTTTACCACTAGGCTATACAACCCCAAAAGGGATAATTTAAGATCGAAAGATCTTAAAGAAGAGAATCTATATACTAGATAATATGACTCATCACATCACCCCCCTCATCAAGGATCGATCCCCCGATCGATTAGTAATAGTTATTCATAAGAATATGTACGGATTTGCTCTAGTTCCTCGATATTCTAATATACAGCTAATATACAATTGATAGAAATATTCTCAGAAGACTAGGTTCTTTGAAGTTCTATATTCAGTTAATCAATTATAACTAGATTTCAAATACTTGTAAATGAATATGTTTATTCTAATACGACCTAGCCCTAGTATCGAATAAGTTTCAGATTTAGACATTTTTTGTAGAGAATATACTTACATTAGTATGACCTTATTCGATTTAGAAGAGAGATTTCAGACTCAGATATCTTTGTACAAAGAATATACTTATACTAGCATAACCTCCAATGATTGAATCGAACTAAATTTCAAACCAATGGATCTTAAATAATATAACGGACCTAAAGCTCTCTTCTTTACCACTAAACCACACAACCCCAAAAGAGATAATTTAAGATCGAAAGATCTTAAAGAAGAGAGTCTATATACTAGATAATGTGACTTGTCACAATTATTATACTATATATTTCTATTATTAAAATATTTCATTTATAAATAAAATTTAAAATCATTTTTTATCTTTAAATTTTATTAAAGTATATATATATATTTAAAAACTATTTTTTAACTATTTTTCTTCTTCAAAAAAAATCATATATATTTTTAAAAACTTTTATAAAACTTTACTTTCAATATTTTTTGAAACCTTAAATTTATTTCGATAATATTAATATGAAATAATTCAATAAATTATTCTAAAATCTTA